TGCCAACCAGTTCTTCATAAATTGATTAGTTCCATTTCAGACATGTTGGCTCGGTTCGGTAGAAGTTCCAGCTCTCCTTGGAACTCCAGGCTCAGTAAGTCTCTTGACGGAGCCACTGAATGCCGTGCTTCCGATTCCGCCACCGGCGAGACACCGAGGGACGACACCGAGAGGTCATCTCCTACCTCTCCAATGGGGCATATCCAGCCTCTTGAGCGAAGAGTTTGCGCATGTGCCCCATTTATTTATCAGAGGCAAACGGATGGGTAGTGCACACTATTCTACTAACATTGTGGACGGGGCTATTCGTGGACGTTTCGTGGAATGGTGCTGCAACAAAATCCCAGAAACCTTTGTTGAACTTCGTAGAAGGTATTTTTGATGCACTAACTTCGTATAAGCGATTTTGGCTGACCCCCTTTCTCCACACACCCTCCGTTGAGCCTTCATTTTGTACTGTATAGCGCTGGGTCTAATCATCTAAATCGAAGCTGAAGTCAGTCTGGGTGGCTTTTCAATCCAAATTTGGCTCAACGAGGCTTTTCTCTTGGCCTACGTGAGACAGTGAGTTCGGGCTTCAGAGATGCACAAGCTTCAAACAGGACTTGATATGAGCAGCAGCGAAATTCCAGCAACATCTTCAATTGAGCTACCCATCATTATACTGCTTTTCCTCACTCACATCTTATATATATACATATCACGAATGAAAAGCAACAACCGGAAGCAGATACAGCTATCAGTAACACTAACATCAGGAATATACATGTACTGCCACTGTTGCACTTGTAACGCGCACAAGCCCTCATTACTTCACCTCCTCTACTGTTTTGATGGTATCAAATACTGCTGCGGCTACGTGATTGCCTCTATACACACCTGGGCTACAATACCTCATTAAAACGTCCCACATTTACTATATTTGTCAGTCCTTTTCAAAGAAGTCGAAGAATAAATGTTCTTAAACGTTTTTCATCAAAGAAACGACAATGAGCCCAGACCATCCTCAGACCATCCTTGTGACCTTCAGAAAGAGCTGAAACTATAGAGAAAAGTCCCGGAGGCATTCTTGTCTGCCCGAACCTCCAAAAGGCTGATTTTGGGGAACAGGCTTCTTTTAAAGAACTTTTTGACGATCTATAGGTATATGATATATGTATGTGTACAGCAACATCCACTGATCCGTTGCACCACATCAATCCTGTTTGAATCAGAATTGCCTTGTGCACATCTCCAGTCTTCAAGTGTCGAAGTGGACCGGAGCAAAGCGGCGCAAAGCGAAAGACGCTTTATTTTAACCATGCTTTTCCTGCAAGGAACTATAGGGTCTTTGCGTAATGAGTCTGCCAAGACCTAAGAGGAGAGATACCGATTCGTCAACGGAAGGAATTGGTGCAGTGGACGACACGAATCGTGCGACAAGTTGTTTCTTGAGCACCTGAAGAGTCGAAAAGAAGCTGCAGCTGCATGAGCCGACTTGGTCATGCAGGATGAACATCATGGGAAAGGCTCAGCCGCAGCTTGGCCCTGTATGCTTATAGTTGTCAGTTGTCAACCGGCAATTGGACCAGAAGATCTTCAGAATCAGAAACTTCCACAGGCAACGAGCTCACCCCTGGTGATTTTCAGGGTGAAAAGGCCACATCAACCCTTCCCCGAGTTCACCAGCGCAGGTGCTTTCAACACCGACCTTAAGGGATGGCATGAACAGTCCGGTCGCTTCATGCGAGAAGGCCTTGGGACGTCGTCCCATGAAAAGTCCAGCTCCCGGGAGATGTCGCGAGATCCCGACCCCAAAAGCTTTCGGAGTTCCCAGGCGAGGGGGGATGGGCCGAGAGGCCGAGAGTTGGGGGGGCGTTCTCCACCTCCGCCACAGGGCGGACTGGCCGTGCAGGTGGGGTCATTTGGGGCCGGGAGCTGAGGGGAGTCAGCTCAGATGGAGTCGGTCCACTGAGTCGGCTCAGAGGGTTCTTTGGGCTCACCACTCTTGGACTAGACTATCTAGACTAGATCTTCCACTCAGGGCTTCCAATGGGTCAAAAAGGTTGTTGAATGTTCTTGACGTATGTGATGGTTTTTGGGTCGGGACGGTCCGCGGTGTTCATACAACAGGTGGGAAGGGACGTGCTTAACTTTTGGGGTACTCGTAGTGACAAGTGATATGCAAGCCCTCCATGTGCTGGTATGTAGTTGTTCTAATGCATCATTGGTGTGGTCAACGGGGCCCGAGTCTCACTTGGGTCCCGGGTAATTTACCATCCAAGTGCACTCGGCCAAGCTTTGCTCAACGCCAGGCAGTTTGTTGCAAGTACAAGCCAACCTAGAGCCCAGGCTGACCTCTTATGGACCACCTAGCCACCCAAAATATGTTTGCGATGGGCTCTAGGACAAAAGTCAAAGCCCTGACATCGATGATGCGATGTCATCTAGTCATGTTAGTCAATTGTGAGTTTCATGGTGGTTCGCTCCTCAAGTGCATGGGTAAACTCTTCTGGGGTTCGAGACCTGTGATTCTTTGCAACTGCTCTTCTTCTTTGCAAAATCTCCACCTGCCAAGTCCTGGCCACTTCCAGTCACTTTGAATTCTACGGCCCTTGTAGTGCTGGTTCCTGGAGTGGATCGTAGTGTCAGAAGTGACTGTGACCGACTTGGGAGACAGTGGAGCTGGGACCATGACCGAATCGTCACCAGGGTGTGGATTTGCGGTCCCAGCCGGTCTTAGACACGTGTTGGAGATGGTTTTCAGAAATGAGGACTCTTCCGTCCCCTTTGCTTTTCGCCCCAGTTCTCTGCTTGGAAATTCAGAAGAAGTTTTCCTTTGCATGGAAATTCTGGTAAACATCTGGCTGAGGTTGGGCTCTCTTCACTGTTTCTTCTCGTCATGGCGCCATGTCAGGCACTCAGGGTCGCCTGGGGCGAGGATGAACCGATGTGAAGCGAATGGTGACGCGAAATCTTCGCGATCATGAGACGGATTGGTAGAGTTAGAAGGACCAAGAACATCTAAGGACTATCAGGAGTATAGCAGGTAGCAGCATATCCTTCGCAAGCTCAGCATGCTTAGCACGGGCATGGAAGGAATGGGCCGATCCAACAAGCCAAAATCAGTCTGAGAGCTGAGAGAAGCCAACGCCATGTGGGTGACGCATCGTGGATGCCTTTGGGCATCCAAAATTGTACTTCATGGAGATCTTTGGGATGGGTTGGGAAAAATCAGGGTGTTTGTTTTCAACAATCCCTACAGTTTATGTGGTTTCTCTTCAAGATTCCCATGTGGGACTCCTCTAAACCTCCACAACAAGTGTTTTTTTGGCAACAATCCCTCAAGTTTCTTATTTTTCTTCAAGATTCCACGTGAAAAAACCCTCTAAACCGGCTTCCACGACAAGTTGCCGGTTGGCCGAGCCTTCGGACCCTGGCCGAGCCGAGCCGGGACCCGGAAATGAAGCGGCGAGAACCGGCGAATCCAGGCACAGAAACGAGCTATACGAAGCACCACCCCCAAAGCAGAAAAAGACAAACAAGTGTGGAAAGAGGTCTTGGAACAGAACGTGTTTCTGAGGATTCAATTCATCAAGCCCGGGTGTCCTGGCTTGAGCTGTCCGGGAGTCAAATGTTCTTAGCGATGTGTTTCTAGACTTAGTCAATCTTAGTCAAAACGCACATGACACAAACTTCTGCAGATCTCGATGGTCAGCTGATCCTACCAAGGTTGGCGGATCGCTTTGTGTCAGGCAGTTGATCCGATGGTGAGAAGGTCGGTCGATCAAATGGACCCAGTGGACTTCCGAACTCTGAGCGAATGCAGGTCAAATGGGTGAAACGATGATGATGACATACATTCCGGCATGATGCATTATAGTAGGTGAAGTAATGAGCAACATCATGGATTTGCTAAGTGCAAAACGTGGAATCAACCACGATTTGTACAGCTTGACTGACCACTGACAGTTGAGCATGTCAACCGTTTGTCTCCTTTCGGCCGTTTCGCATCAGCTCTTTGTTCCAAAGAAGTTCCAAGTAGCAAGGCCTTTGCGGTCAGCCTTTGGCCCAAATGACACAAGCACCGTCCCACCACCACAGTGACACTTACAAACAATGTTTAATGCTTTGTTAAGTATGGACCATGGACAACTTGATGCAAACAGTTCTTACATGTGGAATTGCTAAGTATAAGCATAGATAAGCATAGATACTAGCATAGAGTATTTGATTTAGCATGATTTAGCTACTATGCAGTTTTCATGCTAGACAGGCCAGGCGCACCCTTTTTTCATCCTTGGGCGCTTCCGGCCCCCCCTGTCGGCCATTGTGGCCATGGCCTCCGGAGGAGTCTGGAACACCCAGCAGGCCTTTCTGGCTCAGCTGAGGGACGGCAGCCTGGAGGCCTGGGGACACCCAGATTATGGTGCCCCGATCCCAGCCGACATCATAGCCTCCGGGCAGAAACACGGCCTGAAGCGGGCTTGGTCTACGTGGCAAGGTGGCTTTTTAGTGGAGCTGCAGAACGGGGAGTTTCACGCCTGGGGAAACAAGGAAAAAGGTGCCGACATCGACGCCGTGAAGGCCACGCTGGAACGCGAGGGTGTCGTACAGATTTGGAGCACCTCAGGCGCTTTCCTGGCAGAGTTGACAAGCGGCAAGGTGCTCACATGGGGCGATGCAGGTTGGGGCGGCGAGGTCACCACCTCGGTGCGGGAAGCCCTCGAAGCCGAAGGGATCCACCGCGCCTGGTCCACACACGGTGCCTTCATCGTGGAACTGAAGAGTGGCCGAGTGGTCGCCTGGGGCCGTTCCGAATTCGGATCCCAAATCCCCTCCGACGCCCAAGCAGCGATGCGAACCAAAGGGCTCCGGGACATTTGGACCACTCGCTTCGGCGCCGTCGTGGCGCAACTGAACACCGGAGAAGTGATCTCGTGGGGAGACACCAACCGTGGCGCCGACGTCGGCGGAGTGAAAGATCGGCTCGAAGCCGCGGGAGTTCGACACATGTGGAGGAGTACTTTCGCCTTTTTGGCGCAGCTGAAGACTGGCGAAATCCTCTGCTGGGGCGACAAAAATCGTGGCGGTGCGCTCCCCGCGGCGACGAAAGAAGCCCTGGACGCCCACGGAATCGCCCGCGCATGGAGCACCACCAGTGCATTCCTGGCGGAGCTGACGAACGGCTCCGTGGTGGCCTGGGGAGTCGGATCCGGTGCCGAGATCCCAGACGACTTGCACAGCTCCTTGGAACGCGAGGGGATCCGCGAGGCCTTCGGCACGGCCGGCGCCTTCCTGGTGGTTTTGAAGAGCGGCCGCTGCGTCGCGTGGGGCGATCCCCGCTACGGTGCAGACCTGAGCTCCGTCAAGGACAAGTTGGAGACGGTGGGCCTGGCGCTTTCAGCGCCTGCAACCCCAGCTCCGGAGGCCCCGCACGCAGGTCCAGGCACCTTGCCGAGTGGATCCCCCCGGACGGCTGCGGCATTCCTACGGGTCTTCGACATGTCTCCGGAGTCAGTGAAGCTCACGGAGGAGATCTGGTTCTGCTATGTTCTGCTATCCTCCTAGCAATTTTCCCTAGAGAATCAGAGAGCTCGGGTGTTCCAGAAACAGGCAATACTTTAGTAGATTAATTAAGCTGGTCGATGAGGTTCACTTGCCGTTTTCTAACGGTGGCAGTGGAGTGTGATTCTTTAGAGGCACACTTGTTGCAATTGTTTTTGTTTTGTAAGCCACACGCTCGCATCCTTCAGCCTGGAGATCAATGCCAATGGCATCCAATGGCAATGCCTTTTTCCAAACAGCATGTCACAACATATAACAACACAATGTTCAATGATCACAGATGATCACAGATGATCACTCTTCCAAAGCTTGCCCTATCTTTCCCTCATCTTCAAAGCTTTTGATGTTGGAAATGCCATCCTTCTTCCCCCCTGTCTCCCCCTGTCTCTGGTAGGGACCGGTTCCAGGTCCTCGTGGCCACGGGGCTCACGGACCGGGGACGATGTCTTGGCCCGGTGTGACTCTGACCCCCCCACCTCGCCACCTGGTCTAGTACCAAAAGTAGTGAATGTTTAATTGTTATTCGAAAATGGTTGGTTCTCGCAACTGTTTGATTGTTTCAAAATGGTCTTCAAACAGACTCCAAACATCAATGGAAGAGAGGAAATGAAGGAATATGACCAGGAAAATAACTAAGAATTAAACATTAACTATCTACTTTTTGTAGCTTCACCTTTCCCCCTGTCTCTGTGTCTCAGACTCTGACCCGCCACCTCGCCACCTGGTACAAAAAGTAGCCCGTGATTTTTTATTTTGTTAGTTATGTTCCTGGTCATATTCCTTCATGTCCTTTCTTCATCTTTCTTCCATTGATGTTTGGAGTCTGTTTGAAGGAAATGTTGAAACAATGTTTGGATATTTTCTTGTGAACAGTATTTTTTGAACAGGTTTGAAAAGTATTTGTCATCATCATGGACTGGTACGTGTGTGGTGTGGGTGTTCCCATTCTTTAGGGGTGTCCAGGGTTCCAAGGAGGTATGTGCACAGTTCTCAACGTGTTCTGATTTTTTAAGTCCAGTGCCCCGTATGTGCTGGCAGAGGGCTGATTCTTTACGCTACAATTGTATGTTTCTGTTTTTTTCTCCTTTGTCGTTTGCCCTGTGCTTTTGCGTTGCCCTGCGACAGGCACTTGCAGGCACCGTCGAGGGTGTCGAAGTTAGACATGTTTGACCAGGTCGAGGATCGTCCAAAAAAAACATAGGCAGGAACTAGAAGCATATATCTCCATGGATCTCCATGGCATCAACAAAAGCAATAACCTATAGAACGCAACACGCATACACACACATCAAACAAATAAAGTTGGGTGTTTCTTTTGGTTTTCTCTCCTTTGTGGTTTCCACACCTCCAACTCCACGGCCCAGAGATCAAAACGTTTCTTTGCCTTTAGAGCATTGCACTATACATTCCAAATGCTGCAGCCACCATGAAGGGTGCGGGACCGTGCAAACATGTAAGAGACATGTTTCCTAGCCTGTTCACCTCGAACATGCAGCTTACAATTTGTCCATATGGAAGGGGGGTGGAACATGTATCTCCCCTTGGATTGTAAATCCCACAGCTTCCTGACCTGCCCAGCAACTCCGAAGAGGAGATCTCCAACTACTCCAGCTGGGTCAGCCGGGCCACGGTGAAGTTGGAGCATGGCGAGGCGGCGAAAGTGGAACCAAAACCGCATCGGATTTGCTGTGTGTGTGCCTTTAATCACCCGGGTTCAGTCGTTCGTGCTTGTGTGATATATGTGTGGTTTTGCATTTTATGCAGCCAAGTTTGGACCTCTCATTCCATAGAGATGTTGTTTCCGCAAAATGGGTAAACTCTTCAGTACTCTACGCACTGGGTCGTAAACTCTTGCGGCGTTGCGGGTGGCCAGGCTGCAGGCACCGTATTGCTGCTTGTGGTGTGATTGCAAGCTGTGCCCCGGTAATACCTGTGCCTGAGGTGCCGGCGGTGGTCAAGGCCATGCAGTTGCCCCAAGATGAGAAGGAGAAGAAGAAAGAACACTTGCTGTGGATGAAGAAGGACAGGCTTAGTTGTGATGTTTCACCATGAGAGTTCGAAACCTTCAGCATCATGAGCAGTCAGAGTATTTTTGGGGGCACTACCATGGAACCACAGACTCTAGCATCTTGCTTTACTGTGTTGGGGGCTGCCGCAGCTCACTGTCAGCATGGATACCATTCTCACAATCAGGATATGATGAAACTTGTTCAGCGTCGAAGATGACTCTAGATCGAGTCTAATCATAGGACTAGTGGGTGCTATTTGCGGCTGAGGTAAGATTTCCAGGTTGTAGCCTATCAGACGCAAGCATTCATTTAACCATAGCACTGGATATCTTTTTTGTGTTCCCAGTGCAGGAAGAAAAAAAAGTTGAGCACCTCGCCATGGATGAAACCTTCTTACCCCGAAGCTGCAAAAGGCAAATGTAGTTATTCAACATCAAAAAGAGGCTTGAAATCCAGGGATGACTTGGTGGGCCTGTCAGAGCCACAGGCACAAAGTTTTATTTGAGGCAATGTTCTTCAGGTGTCATTTGGGTTCTTGACAATGCGGTTGGTTGCTTTGACACTGCCCTGTTGCAGGCGCTCCCCACAAGTCATTGCAACTCATGGTTGCGGACCACAGCATCCGAACGGCCAGGAGCTGGAACATCCAAATCTCGTCAAGATCTTGGGGCTCTATTGGTCTCCTGGCGCTCCTTGCCGCCCACGAAAACGGGGCGGCTACAAACGTTTGGCCAGCTCCGGCCCGACACGATCTGCGAACCCCAATTTTCTGTTGGCGTGTTCAAGGCTCAATTGACTTAGGGACACCCTCGCAAACATTCAACACAATTCGACTTCACGAAGGTCTATCAGCCAGCCGAAGAATGCTGAGATTTTGCTCCGAAGCCTCATTGACAGGCAAGCCAGGGGTCTGATCTCCAGCAAACACTTTCGGAATTCAGATTTGGGCCCTCCATCACCCACATCCCAGGTCCATAGAGCTTTGTTTTATCATGTGTGTTTAATGCTTGTGTATTTTGACCCTAGGGCTCCAACCACCTCCTGAGAAGATGGTTGGGGTGGGTGCCAGGGGGGGTCTAACCACCGAACCTGAGGAGATGGTTGGAGCCCTAGGGTGACTAGGCTCCGGGTTGGCCAATCCGAGGTGTACAAATACCGTGATGTGTGTTGCCGTGGAGCCAGCCCCCAGGCGCGACAGACGCCGGTGTGAGAGGGGCGGGTGTTGGGAGTTTGTGTTTAATCTTTACCAGTTTCCCTTGATGAATCTCAATCACCGTGCAATATTATAGGAGAGACCACCTCCTGACAGACTGCATTGAGTTAAATATATGGTTAAAACTTAAAACTGGTTAGAGCTAAATCCACCAGGCCTTGTTGGTGGCTTGTCCCTTCCACTAAGATTGCTGCTGCGTGTTTTTTGTTTAATGGGTTTACGTGCAGTGGGCAAGAACTGGTGGAAAGGCTGCTGCATGCTGCTGATCTCTGAAATCTGAACATACCTCAACTTCGGCATGGAGACGCCCCTGCAAAAGGTGAGAACATATCAATCAGGGTGTAGGAGTTCCCCTTCAACAGCAATTTGTAGTTTGAATGGTTTGGTGGTTATCTCAGTATCTCCCACTAGACCTCGTGGCGGCATTCATTAGGAATTGGTGCGGCATTCTGTGGTTGTGTGGTTCCTGTTCTGTACGTGTTTGACCTGTACCGGGGATGACCGATCCCAATGATTTGTATTAAATTGTTCAGATGGCTTGAAACCATGTTGAAAGCACCTGTTCGAACGGAAGTTCAGCAGCTCAGCAGCTGAACACCATAATGCCGACCATTTGGGGAAAAAAAAACCAACCATCCGAAGAAAATCCATACCGACCATCCTGAGAAGTTTTGGTTTGTGTTACATGCCCCATAATATGGATCCACTGCCACCTTCTCAGGTTCGGTATGACTTTGCCCTACCCTAGCGCCTACATAAGTCGTCTCCTTCCTCACCGTGCCTCCATGGGGATCCAAGGATCGTTGACCTCTTAAGCTTGGATGCATGTGACCTGTAACAGTAAGTAAACAAGCAAGAACATCACTACTTTTGGACAAGGCCTGGTACCTAACCATCATCATCCACTGGGCCCAGGTAATAGGATAGACCCAATGGATGCATGTCCCCCCTTGCAATGTGTGTGGACCGATTCAGCAAGAACCTCAGGTGCTTGAGACGCCTTCTACAACAGGAACCGTCCCTGGCACAGCGGGAGCATTTGCCCCTAGCACTGGGGATTGCTTCTGCCATGATGCAGCTCAGCTGAGAGCTGCGGCCGTCCGAATTAAAAACGATTCTCAGCACATCTGAGTACCCTGCAGCCCGATTCTGGTGGATTTCGGTCCACGTCACGTGGTCAGCATCGTTGTCGGCCTCGAAGTGAAGTGCAGTGTTGAGGCCAGTCGCGGGTTTCCTGCGGTCGTCACTGGGAAACATGTTTGACACATTCCTCGCAATGAGGACTCTGTCAAGACGACCTGGAGTGCCAAGGTATCTTCACGACCTCGCTGAGCCGATCCTGCACCAAGATCTCAAACCGGAGAATGTCCTGATCTTCGACTCCGATTCCAAGTTGATCCCCAAGGTCACCGACTCTCGAACTGCACAAAGCTGCAGGGGGAGGTGCTGCAGGTTGGAGACTGGAACTTCCTGTCCCTCAGAGGGTGCATCCCACCTGAAGCACAAGAGGGTCACTAAGAGTTGCGGCCGACACATCCGACCGGTCGCCCATTGGTGTTTGAAAGACGGAGTGCTGGGGGGGGAAGGCCTACATGTCAATCATGTCAATGATGTGTGCTGGACTGTTAGTTGGGCGATCCCTCATCCGATGGCCATGACCTGAGTCATGTCTGTGGCAGCCCTTCCCTTCCAATCAGGACTTGAAAGGCATGCATCAGTGTAGGCTAAGAGGCCAGCATGAATGACAAGCCTGACTCACCAACATGGAAGTGGAACAGATAGCCTGTGGGAAGACTGCTCTCCTGTACCAACAGGGAATTGTCCACTTCCGTGTTCATCTGCGGATTCTGCATGTCTTTAAGTTGCAATCGACCCTTCGATGGCTTCCGTGTTTATCCAATCGATCTGCCACACCCAGAAGGCCTGAAGAACAACATGCATTCGACCCCCAGACCTAAAGAAGAGATGTGGAATACCCAGACGCTCCATGGGACTGCCATATATGCCGATCAGTTGGGGTGCTTTGGGGGGGTCAATGTAGGCACATATATGGCATACATGGAGTGCATGGGATAGGTATGACTAGATGTAGGAGGATATTTTGGGTCAGGAGTTTTGTTTGTCGCACGTACTATAAGCAGCCATTTCAGTAGGTGAAACACGATGAAAACGATGCACAAGCTCACTGTATCGCTCTATTCGCTTCGCTGGTTTTCCTTACCCTAGACGGTGGATAACAGGCAGACCTTTTTTGGGGGATTGGTTTCCCCATGCTAACGCCTGTTGTTCAACCGTGCTTGCTCCCCTGCTCCCGCACCGCTGCTTGGCCCTCCACGGTGTCTTTTTTGCTGCACACGTTGGGATGCGCACAGTGAACACCTTGGGGCAGAAGGTCTTAGATCCTGAGGGGGGGTCGCCAAGGAAACATTCACAAAGTAATAGGCATCCGGAGACCAAAGACTAGAAGCGGCGCGCGGAGACCGAAAACTAGAAGGTCTTAGATCCTTAGATCCTCACAGGATCTGGCTATTTCGCTGGTGAGGATGGGGAGATCAGACCAAAGACTAAAACTGGGCCGGAGATCGCTCTTAGCTCCTTTTGGGGCCTGGCTATTTCGCCATCTTCGATGGGCTGGTCCGGGGTTGATGGGCCAATGAGCTCGTCCGCATTGGATGCTGGACATGACAAGCGGTCAAAGTGGATGAAGTCCCAACAGAGGTTAAAGGACCCTAGTTCGACTATCCCATAGGGTAGGTACCCCAGGTGACAGGTCCATAAGGTCACTTAACCTCTCTTGGTCCCAATGGATCCAAAGAAGCACTGTGACTTTTGCACCCGTTCCAGCCCTTCCAGCCCGTTCTCTCACCCTAGCCGCTGGCGCTCTCATTTGCTCTGCTCCTGCCTCGAGGACGTGGGCTTCAATCAGAATGGAGGTGGCAAGGGCGCCTTGGCCTACAAAGCGCCTGAGATGTTCGAGGAGAAGTTTCAGATGGCATCCGAGGCTAGCCGCGGCGAGCTGAAGTGCGAGCTGAACCACCCAACAGTCCATGGGATCATGGAGGGACCTTTGACATACCTGGAGCCTGGAACACCTACCAAAATCCAGTCATCGTTTGGGGTTCCAGGTGTAATTCATATCCCAATTCCCTTGAATGACAGGAGACAAGATGATTTCCCTTAGGGTCTTGGGACTCTTCACATTGTACGCCTTCGCGGTCAACAGGTGTACGCCTTCGCGGTCATTTGCTTTGAAATCCTGACCGGACAGCAAGCTTGGAAAGGGCGCCTCGGTGGCCAGGCAAGTCACTGGCGGATGCAGGACTGATTCCACCTGATGTGGCAGCCGCTAGCCCCTCATGTCCCCAGCAAGTCATGGGACTGGAAACATTTACCAGTGTCTCATCTATATCCAGTCCCGTGTATGGAGTAGATTCCTAACAATAGATTCCTAACAATAGGACCTTACTGGTAGATTGCCCTATACATCCTAATTAGCTAATCTACCAGGACCTGAGCCGTTCATGACCTCTTGGGAGTCTCTGTTTGTGGCCTCTAACAGACCTGTTTGTGACCGAAAATCCTGGGATATCAAGTTAGGTCACGTACTGAAGGTCCTGGTATACATTGGCCCCTTAAAGCATCGCGAACATCATCCCAAATTGTTCGAGTGTTGAATTCCTCAACAGCTGGGCTGTCCTGTTATTGCAACGAGGGTTTGGGGCAAGGACGTGCAAGGCGTCCTTCAACAGGAATTTTTGGTTGACTCGTTTGTTCAACATGGGAATGATAATCTGATACGTTGAAGCAACATGAGTGGGTGATCGGGCTATACCAAAGATCATATATATCATGCAATGAAAAGCAGTCGTGACTGACATACAGAAGTCCAGCGTTTTACTCGTTGCCTCACACAACAAGAATATCAATAAGTTATGATAATTAAGTTATTAATACACGAGTCCACCATTGATAGGCCTCCAAAACCCCCACCCCAATTGGATCTTCTCTTTGTCCGACACTTGCGGCCCTGGCGACCTGCTTCGATCCCAGGCGCAGCGACCTCGGCATCATGAGAGCCGTGTGTGATGGGCAGCGGCCAGCGATGGACGACCCGAAGACGGACTTGGGCCCGATCATCCAGGAAGCGCGGCTTCCGCGAGAGTGGCGCGGACACGGCACAGGTTGCACGACATGAACCGAGCGACAACACGCGAACAGAGAGTCGTCGGGAAAGTTAAGAGAAAGGAGCGTTCAGCCGGCCGAAGAACGTATCGAGCTCACACGATGTAAAGCTCAGAACCCCAGGACCTTCCAACAGAGGTTGAATGACCCGAACTTGACGGGTCCTATTTACGGTCACTTAACCTGTCTTGGTTCCTAGTGACCGAACGTATCCCGGCCGGGACTGGTGACCGAACGGTGGCCTACCAGGGGATCGAGTTCGGTCACGAAGATCCTGGTGTCTGGGGTTCTGAGGCTTTACACTGCAGGGGTGATTTGTTTCGGTCCGATGTTGGAAGGTGATTTCAAACATCGAGTATACTAAAGGTAAGTCTTCCAGCCCTCATGGATAGTAGTCGAGCATGTTTTGGTTCAAAAACACCTTCAAACCATTTACGCCGTACCGTACCCCCATCGCCCCCCCACGCAGCTCCTCCAGTCCCAGGACTCCTGGGCAGCCGACCCCGAAGCCCGGCCGCGCTTCGCCGCGATCTGCGAGCGCCTGAAGCCACAGCGCTTCCCCAAGAAGCTATCAACAGCAGCGCCCAGCTACTGGTCGGGCACCGGAGAAGCTTTGGATCAAGGCGAAGTCGGAATCTTCTGAGCAGATGCTGAGAGGGATGGACGGTGCCATTAGTCCTGCAAATGAGATCAACATGAGGATTCCTGGGCACCCTCGATCATCATGTAAATCGAAATATGCGCTCATGATGCCAAGCTTCACTTGCGCTCATTCAGATCGACTCTCGGTCAGTCTTGAGAGTTTCCCCTTGCGAGGGTGGGCGGCTGTGCCCGTGTCTGAGAAGACCTTCGAAGCTTTGAAGAAGCTCTTCGTCGTGACACAGCCGGAGCAGCTGGGAGAAGGCCGAGACTGCAAAGACTATCGGCGGAAGTACAGCAACCTCCAGCTGCTTGGACGATGTCGGATATGTGACCGGTAAACTTGTGATGTGGGAAGATTTTAGGGGTGTCCTATTTTGGAGAAAGACCTTTGTAACTAACCGGACATGCCCAAAGGGCCGCCAGTCCGAGCAATTGGACAGCTGTTTGCTGTCCGCTTATCATCGTGATCAGGTGACGAAGTGGGTCCGATACACATGCTCTCAAATGAGCTACGAATGGACACTTGCTACCGACCCTTTAGCAGCTATTTGATGTTCAACACAGGAAGCCTACACATCCCTGAAATCATGATGGTTAGGTGGATGGGAAATGGCCACGATTTCGGAGGACCATGGTCCCAAGAACTCACACAGGTGGTTTTCACTCACTCCACTGATTATTTGGGAGTGGTATATGTTTGGTAAATCATATACTCCATATATCTCCATATATTACAGTATAATTTTCAACAAAACATATTTGGGAGTGGTTATACTGCAAATGTATGGCTCCACTTACTGTATTATTTTTGGGAGCGTATACATTTGTACGATTTGTACTTTAAGTTGCTCTAGTGACGTTCGCTGGGCTAAGGACCGAATGAGACAGTAAAATAATGTAAACGATACTGCTTGGGTCAAGCCTTTCGGCTTTCGACACCAGTGAGATCACTGTTGGGCACGCCTGTTGGTTGGGTGTTTCAGGATAATGATAATGCCAGGTTTGGGTCCCTGGTTTGGGTCGAAATACTCTCCGCAAACTAACATGGAACCCGAGAATTGACCGGTGGAAGACCATTTTCCTCTACAACCCAGTGGTTTTGGGGGGTCTATGTCAACCTGCAGGGGAGTAAATCACTTACACTTGCTTTTGTGTGCCTACTATAGTTCCAAGCCCGGCGAGGCGGTTCAGTTTCCAACCTCTTGGGCAAGTCAGATTTGTAGAAACCACTTGGGAGGATTTTTTTTGGTTTCGTTGGTTGTATATTCTTTCGATCCAACCAACAGGATCGTTAAACACTAACAACAAGCTGCATTTGTTTGTTGCTTCTTTGTGTGGCATTTGCTCTTGTTTGCATCCCAGGCCCAGTGCGTGACATGGATGTACCGAAGCAATGCTGCTAGTGCATTCAAGGGTTGGACACGACTTAGAGATATAACATTATAACACATCATTATAGAAAAACATGTATGCAACAAGGGTTGGGCATTAGAGATATAACACATAAGTGTTCCTCATGGCATGTAGCACTTTCCCCACAAATAAGTAGC